GGAGTTTGTACTGCTGTATTCCAGAAAACTCTTGAGCCATATTGTGATTCATGTGGAGAGAGTGACTGCTAATCTACTAATTGGCCAAACGAGGCTGAGGGATGCAGAGGAGAGAAACTAAGGATGCCAAAGCCAGGGAGAGAAACAGAGGACGAGAGGGATTGGCGTTGTGTGTGTCTGTGTGTATTATACTGTATCTAGATGTGTGTGGGTGTGCACATACGTTCATGTGTAGTTTGTGTTTGCAGAGCGGATTTTTAACCCAGATGGGGAAGAAAAATCTGGGACAGTATCTCCCGCCCAGGCAGAAGACGAGGCATCTCTCTGTCTAACTGATATCACCCCATAAGTAACCACCTCACACCGACACCACACTCCACATTGCCAAAAATCAAACCTGTCTGACTAATCCCTCTGAGGTCACACAGAGTTCATTTCTAACAGTGAAAGTAGCGCCTGAATGTAAATGTGTCCACCCTCTCTGACAATGGCAAAAGTGGTTTCTTCATTTCTACAGTTTGGGGGCTGAACCCGAGTCGTTTCACCGCTTTCTTTTTCAGGAATGCTTTGTTCGCACTCCCACAGTCTCTCACAGTTTGATAGCAAAAAGGTGGATTTGCAGCGGAGCGGGGAGTTCTGTCAACAACTGCCGTTAGTGCCCTTAAACACGGTTAAAACGCTTAGACTGTAAAAACAACAATTGGCAGTGGCATTTGTTGGGACTGGGGCTGGGATTTGCCCTTGAATGGTGTATTTTAATTTGTCACACAAGTTAAGTTGCTTAAAGTAAAGTAAATTATGTTTCCAAAACAGCTTGAGTTTTACAGAGTGAAATATTTTCAATCCAAAACTGAGGTTATGTTTTCTTGTCAGGTCCTTAACAGCAGTGAGCACAACAATGTTTTGCTCTCTCTCTCTCAGTTGAACACGGAGAAACTGGTAATAGCACATCATTAAGAGACCTTAATGGGCCATAATGCATTACAGAAAAAAGAAATGTTAGAAAAATGTACAAGGAGCATCTTCTTACATATAAAATTAGAGAGGAAATTGGCTGATATTAGATTTTGGACAATGATATTGCCTGTTTCATCCAACTTGAAATTATGTCCAACAAGTATTCAGTATTAAAGGTCCAGTGTGTAGGTTTTAGAAGCATCTACTGGCAGAAATTGTATATAATACTCATAATTATGTTTTCATTAGTTTATAGTCAGCTAAAAATTAGAATTGTTGTGTTTTTTTTTTGTTACCTACAGACCAAAGATTTGCAAAGAATTGAGGTGAAACTTGCAACTGCTTGCAATGCGCAGGTCTGCAACATTCTGAAAACCTGCCAGTTTACACCAATGTGACTAGACAGGATGATGCATCGCCCCCATAGCAACAACTCTATGTGCCTCCGTTCGGATTTCCAGCTTTTCAGGAAGTTAAAAATGGCTGTATATTATATATGTCTACAGCCACAGGATTACAAATGAGATGGACTTGGGCTTGGCAGTGAGAGAGGGCTGCTGTCTGAGAATGCTGCAGCAAGCAAACATGCCATCTGCTGACAGTTTGTACCTGACTTGGCCGATGGACTTTGCCACAAGCTGATTGGCTGTTGAAACAAGTGACGTGCCTTACCTAAAACCAGCCACTGGCAAGTGGACAAACTGAGTCACAGGTGACACCTTCACCCAGCCTGAGTCAAGCTGAGATGGGCAGGTTTACACCGGTGGAGCTTTTCTTTGCAACATCCTAAAAAGGTTTCATCGCAAATGCTCGGTCTGAACTGGGCTGTATGATTAACTCTATATATCTACATACAGGAAGAAGTTTTACTCCAGGGTGGCCTTCAGTAGCCTAGAAAGGACAAATCAAACACTGGCTTTAGATAGGGCCGTTCACAAATTTCACATTGGCTACATAGTTTTCCTACATGCTTGGCACACAGCAAGCTCACAGCTAGAGCTAGCCACTAAACACTACACACTGGACCTTTAAAGGGACACTCTATCAGCCTGACATCGCCAGACCAAATCGTAAATGCACATCAGACTGGAACCTCTCAGATTATTTTCAATTTCCAAGGGGTGTAATCGACAGCCTTAGACCAAAATGCCTCTGGACACAATTGGATAGACCTACAACCAGTGCTAAGCCATGGACAAATATAAAAAAGACTACAGCGTGCACAAATTAGCTGTGATAGTGTCGCATCGATGTCTGTGAATGAGTGTTGCCGTTTTCACCATCAGAAATGAATGAATGAATGAATTTGAAAATAGTACTCCAACAGAAAGTTTCACATCGGCTGCAGCCATGTTGGTTGCTTTTGCAAGCCAAAAATAACGTCATCAGGTACTTTGTGTAAAGTTAGAAGGCTCCACAAGTTGCCAGCCATCATATTCTACCCGCTCCATATTAGATAAATGGTTGTGATTGGCCTGAAACAGGCCAGGTTGACTGGTACTCTGTTTTAACAACTAATCGCCTCCAATTTCTAAGTCAAGTTTTGTGTTAGAAATCTGCATAGACTCATTAAATCTGTGGAGTGTCCCTTTAAGGTAAATTTACCCCGGTGATGTACAACCAAACAGCTGTTTATGCATACAGGGACTTTGTGTACTGTCTGTGGTGATGTTGAGTGGTATTTAGGGAAACCTAGGAGCCCTAACTATGGGAGGAATGCACAAACTGGGTTGAGGGAAACTGGGTTGAACTCAACGGGACATAAAACACTCCATCACTCCTGGAAGTAACTCCTCAGATAGTATATGATGATATTTGTAACAGAGGACCCCTGAAATGAAAGAATCCAACCTGGTCTCACTCTGAGACGAGGTCGGAGTGAGAATGTGTCGGAGGATCCCATGTTTGAGTGCTGTATTAACTGTGCAAATGGAGCGTGGTGGTCCAGATTTGTAGTTGGCACACCCTTCCCCGTGCGAGAAAAGGGGGGTCAGTTTCTGGAATGAAGTCTGTCCCTCGTCTCCTGCCCTCACAGTGATCTGATGCGACTGGATGGAGTTCAGAGGGAAGGGTAATATCTGAGAGCCCAACAGAGACAGAGCGGAGCTGATGTTTCTGAATCACTGGGTCAGTGGGTCACAGACATCACTGGACATCCAGAGAGCCAACAACTCTCTGTGTTTTCTCGGAGCTCCCGAGGAATCGCTTGTGATTGCCAAATGCAGCTGTGGAAAAACATGATTGGCTCAGCAACACATGTGCAAACACACACACACACACACACACACACACACACACACATAGTGCTGATACAGGAGTGAGCCCCTCTGAGAGTTGCACACACGCATAGAGACCCTCTGATACAGAGAGCAGGCACCTAGAGACTGAAGCTGTGTTTAAACTCCATTACCAGTACAGTCTCTCTAATTAAACCAATGTTTTAATTAGGATTTGGACAGCCAGGAAAGAGGAAGGATAATAATGTTCATTTATCCAACAGAGAGGGTCTATTTCTGATGACTCCTATCTGCCGTGTGCTGGGCGGGTGGCTCTGTGTATGATCTGCCACTGACTCTTTGTAGTGCATTTTCAACCGACATGCAGGTTCCACTTAAATGTAGAGGAAGTATTAAGGAAAGAAAGATTTGACTTGGCTCATTTAAAGCTTACACCAGAGGTTAGACACTGGTGGGGGTGAAGTAAAGCCTGCGGGTTGTTGATGAAAACTCTCAGTTGAATCTCCTGGACATCATGACAGGAGAGGTAACACTGGAATTGTGAATTTGAATAAATCACAGTTAAAGAGGACAAAGGAGGCCGACCTCTCATTTTTACACCAATCTGAGTATTCGCTATGAAGAAGTTAACTTGCGTCTAAAATAGGAAAGAAATCTTTATTTATTGATATACTAATATGTGTTACCAGCCAAACATTTTTATTCAACATTTAAGAGGCTCTACGTGAAATTCAGACCATATGAGTTGTCAGAGACACGCGCTCAGCTAACAGTGCATTAACATGTACAGGCAGCTGGATAGGCTTACTACAACAAACCACAGAGAAGCTCAGGTTACAGCACATACAGAGGTAGTGTGACTTCATCCTCTGCTCAGGACGCCATTACTCCAATATATCTTTACATAGCAAATAGTGGTTTGCTGTGCTTTGACTGTTGCATATAGACTTTTTAAACACAGGTAATAAGAATTTAATTTAGTTCATGGAGTATATTTGACACTAGAAAGGCTCTTAACTATGTCCCAGATGTAAATTAGAAGTAGGAAATTGTATGCATATGGTTGGAATTGTATTATTTCATATTTCTTTGGGGGAAAAGTGTTGCAGAAATCTTGACCACACATATCAGAGGGAATATACTTACAGAACCTTGCTGTTGCTTCTTTAAGGGGATACTTTAAAGCTTACAATCCTTACTAATTTTATCAAAATGTTTCTGACAGTAGTGAAAACAGCAGCCAATATGTGTAACACAGTAATCCCCCTTCTGAATCAGTGTGGTTAAAGGAGCTGTTAGCCTGTGTTCCTTATGAAAACAAAAATGATTATTTTAGTTTTTGTTTTATTTCATGGTATTATTCCTCCTACATTTCAAGAGTGTTTTTACTGTTGCAGATATATTTATCTTATCTTGTTTATCTTGCTTCTTAAGGGGAGTGATATTTTGTGTGTGTCTGCATATGTGTGTGTGCGTGTGTACTTGTACTTGCCAGATAGTGAGCACCGAAACGTGTTTTTAACCAGCTAATTATTGTAACTTTGACAGTGCGGGAAAAGGAAAGCGACAGAGATGATTAAATGGGAAGAAATAGCAGAAATTCACGCTTAGATGAATAAGAACAGAACATTTTCCTTATTGAACGTCAGCCAAAGCTTTATGAATTGTAGTATTGTTAGATCACAGAACATTTTGTGGAAGCAAGGCTTCTTGTGTGATTTGATTAAGAATTGATTTAAATGCAATGAATAACAATATACTTTCCTTCTCTCCTCTCTCTTGTCTCTTCCTTTACCCTGCTCTCAGCGGGAGATGGCGTCCCAGTCCAGAAGGATGGGGAGCAGGTAAGCTTTCAGTTCCTCTGGCTCACCCCCTCTTGTTGACTTCCTCTGACAGTGGACTGTTGTCACTCCACCTGAGGAACCAACATGGCCACTGATTTAAAAAAAAAAAAACACAGGCAGCTACATGATGAGCTGCAGCAGCTCACCCCACTAGCTCTCTGTGACTTAAGGTGCCAGTGCTTACGCTAGTAGAGTAGTGAAGTAGCGCGCACATCATGTCAGTGTCAGTCGCTTAACTTCCACTACACCTCCCCACCCTCGAGATGGGGTGGCGTAGCTGGAAGACTGAACAATCACTGGTTCGGTCGGCTCATTGTTGTTGCTGTGAAGTCCGCTGCTTGATGTCCATCTGACAGAGTCACTGCTCAGTGCTCATTGAAAGCAAAACAGCAGAGGCATCACTGTGTCTTTCTCCAACTTCTTACACACCATGACTATCTCCTTTTACCACTACTCCCCTCTCCTTTCCTGCTGCTTTACTGATCCCGTGCTCTAAAACTGATCCCTCTGAGACAGGACACAGGAGAGGGAACCATTTTGGACTAAAATGTAGAGAACTCTACTTTTTACGAAAATGCACTGTGGACTGATTCCATCATTTATTTATGAATTGTGCCCCAGAATGCCCTTCGGTCCTCCGGAGAGGGGGGGGGAAAACAGCCACAGCCACACACACACACACACACACACACACACACGTGCACACACACATCAGTGTTGTCAGGGCTATTGGAAGCAACATAGGAAAAGCTGCTTCAAGGAGCCCAGCTCTACCACTCAAGTTTCTTAAATCTCTCATCAGAGCCACTCCTGCAGAGGGAGAGGAAGAGAGTGAGGAAGTCGAGGAGCGAGGGAGTGGGAGCGAAGAATAGAATTACAAGAAAAAGAAGGAGTGAAGAAAAGAACGGGAAGAGGCTGATATTGATTAACATGAGCTATCTGGATACATGCTGCATGTAGCTGATGGAGATAGTGAACACCACCCTGGTAGTCACTCTCTCATGATGTCATTCAGCATTAAATTACCTCTTCTTTACACTTAACAGTCCGTCGACCAGCGATGATAAGCAATTGAGTACAATTTTGAGGCGTTGGTGCTTTCTTAAGCTAATTTATACTTCTACTACAATGCAGAGGAAACACTGTACTGCACTACAAATCTGTTTACACATGGATATAGTAAACATAATAACATAACACAGAGCACTTTTACCTTTAACACTTTAAGTACATTTTGCCAATAATACTTTTGTACTTATACTTTAGTGAATACAGGACTTATTCTTCTAATTAAGTGTATTTTTGATTATTATATTTCTGTTTTTCACTTGTATGGAGGGAAGGAATGAAGTCAGGAAGAACAAAACTCATGTTTAAGCTCAAATTAATAGATTTCTCTTATGTTTGTATGGTAAATATGAAGCTACAGCAAACAGCTGGTTTGCGTAGCTTAGCACAAAGACCAGAAACGACTAACCTGGCTCCGACCAAAGCTAACAAAATCCACATACCAGCACTCTAAAGCTCACTAATTAACACGTCATATCTTGTTTATTTAATCTGTACAAAACCAAATGGAAAAATGTTTTTACAAGGATCATATGCCCGACTATCTCTTGACCAGGCACAGAAATTTACTGGAGTCTCTACTTGCCTTGCCAACCAGGAAGAAGGTTTTTGTACAGATTAAACAAACAAGATATTGAGCCCTATTTTACACCCGGTGTAAAGTGGTGCACTGCGCAACGAAACTGTGATTGCAAGTTTCAGACCAGCACAGTTGTCATTTTCACAGCCAGCACCCACGTTGTGTAAGTCGCAAATGTACTTGTGCTCTTTGGCAGTAGGTCTCAAAATGAGGTGTGGTCAGGCACATTGTTGGCACATTGTTATTTTCAGGCAGCAAAAAGCAATTGCACCATTGACCACCACTATCCTGCTATTTAAAGAGCGCATTATCCAGATAGTAAGACATGCCTACATAGGCGTACACTCTGCTTGTTACACACACAGGGACATGCGGATGGGTTGTGGGTGGGTGAAATAATACATCATTAATGAGGAGAATATTAATCACATTCTATAAAACATGAACGCAGCAGAGAGCAGAGCTGCAGAGCTGCTGTCCAACTCAGATTAAGAGAAAGCATTTACAGGGCGTTGGTGGCTTGGTGGTGGAGTGGGCGCCCCATGTGCGGGGCTGTTGCTGCAGCGGCCCGGGTTCGAGTCCAGCCTGTGGCCCTCTGCTGCATGTCATCCCCCCCCCTCTCTCTCTCTCCCCCCCTCAAGCTTACCTGTCCTGTCCATTAAAGGCAAAGTGGCCAAAAAAATATCTTTAAAAAATAAAAAAAGAGAAAGCATTTACGCAAGAGGAGCAGCGTAACTTCACTGATAAGTTTAAAACTAGTTTTTAGTTTTGCTGCTGAAATATCCCATGATATTTGCTGCAGTGACATCACTGCTCTCACTGCATTACTCTCAGCATAAAACTGCTCGCTGCCCCAGTTGCCCAAACCCCCATATAAATAGCAGTGTGCCATGTGCAGGTGCACCTGGCTTTTAAAGTGAATGGGAGATGACACTGATTAGTTGAAGTTACGTCACACCCACAACACACCCATGATTAATTAAGGGATTAAATACAACCCCTTTGCCACTTGCGCCCAGATTATACACCGTTTAACGAGCAGAAGTGGTTGGGCACGCCCTTAATACAAATGCACCATGTACTTTAGACCATGCACTATAGATTAAATAAGGCCCTTTATGAGCTAATCAGTGAGCTTTAGGGTTGATGGGAGGTAGCTTATTTATTTGCCAGAGCCAGGCTGGCTGTTTCCCTCTGTTTCCAGTCTTTATGTGAGCTACCACACAAACACGAGAGTGCAATCAAACTCCGAGCAAGAGAGTAAATAAGCATATCTCCCACAATGTCAAACTGTTCCTTTAATAAAAGGATCTGAGTACTCCCTCCTCCGCTGCTGTTTACATTGCAGGGTTTCACATATATACAAATGGAGACGCGGCCACCTTTGTGACAGGCTAGGAAAAATAATAAACTACACTCTTTGAAAAACAAACCTGGAGAGGATAAATGTGTGATAAATGTCAGGGACCGGTGAGATTTTTCCAGTTTTGTTTATTTACTGTTTTGTTTTCTCTCAGCCTCGACCGACAGGAAGGTGAAAACATTTCAGCACAGCCACTAACCCACCAGTGTCCCCAGTCTAGTTAGCGTCTGATGGAGAGGAATGCTGTGGCAGAGGCTGCTGCTTATCTGCTTTGTCCCCAGCATCTGCCTTTACACACACACACACATGAACACACAGCCTCCCGTTCCTCCTGATAGCCTCAGTCCCCTGTCTGTCTGTCTGCATCATCAGATACCGTTCGACACAGCACTGACATCTTTCTCACTCACACTCGATTTTCCGCTGGCTTTCAGTGTTTTTGGCAGCACATGTAACCAGAGAGGAGACTCATTCATCCGTAGCGTATTCACTCTGCTATACAGAACTAAGCAAATATACTGATCCCTGTTTAATCCCCTCCCTTCTCCCTGTCATTCTGGTCCTTGACTCTTCCTCGTCCCTGGAAAATCCTGTGTATCTGTCTCTCTTCTTCTCCCTTCTCTGAATTTGTTTCTCCTCCTCTGCATGTCCGATGTGCAATCCCCCCCTCTGTCCGTCCTCTCTTCGTCTTCTCCCATTTCCCGTCCCATGCACGTCAATGTTCTCTCTGTCCTGTCACTCTCTCACTCTGTCCTGCTCCTTCTTTCCCCATCCCTCCCTCCTCCTATTTCTCTTCCTCAGCATGGACGTTCAGAATTTTCATGGGAAGGAATCAATGTAAGTGTTGTGACACCATTCCTTCGTCTACTACTTTTCTTCCTCTATCTATTTGTTCCTTTCACCTGTTTTGATTTAACTCACCCTTTAGCCATGAGCTCCCCGCCCCACCTTCACGACTCCCCTTCACCTCTGCCTTACAGTTGATCTCTTTCGGTTTATCGTAGTGGTGCACAGTAGTGGGCACAGTCAGAATGACTTATTTGTGCAGGATAAAAAAGTACACAGCTAACTTGGAATCAGGATTTGGGTAATGCAGGTTTTATCTTGTGTATTAACCCAACATCTCTATCACTTCTCTTCTCCACTCACCCCTCTCTGACACACACTGTCTTGATGTCTTTGTGTGCCCCGTCACACTTCCCATACTCTCCTTTTCTCTACACGTTTCCCCCCTTCTCCATTCCTCTCTCTTCTCTCCCTCTAGCTGTCTATGGAAGACACCACGTCAATCCTGCCTCGGCTCAAGAGGAACTCAAACGCCTATGGCATCGGCGCTTTGGCTAAGTCTTCTCTGTCAGGTGTGTCAGGTGTGTGTCTGTGCTGTAAACTGGTAAAACGACCCCATGTTGGCTCGGCCCCAAGCGGGCGCTGGAGTCAGCATGGTACCCGAAACGGGTTCCCCTGTATCACTTCCTCTCCACACTGTGATAACACTAGTCAATGGCTCCCCCCTGAGTCATTGATGGAATGAATTCAGCCTGCAAAACACAACGCACACACACACATAGCGCATCATCATACAGCTTGTTGCTCTAAGAAAAGGTGAGTGTTGAGTGGGAAGTGTAGTTTTTCCATGTTAAGTGGTTGTGAAACTGTGTTGTCCTGAACAAGTAGTAGTATGGATGTTTTGAACCGTGTAAAGTGCTTTGTTCAACAGAGTTTTAAGTGCAGTGTAGTGCAGTGTTGTTTTGGTTTAATCCAGTTGTTTCGTGCAGTGCAGTTTATTTGAGTGCAGTGAAATGTAGTGCAGCTGCTGCACTGTGTGCCGTGGTACAGATTTGTCCTGTAATTTATTCCCATAATTTATTCATAAATCTCATCTCCATGCGCCACCATCAGAGAGAATCAAACAACCAGGGATTTACAGTACGTGTCATCATGTGCTGGTCACATGAAAAAGTGGAGCACAGCCATTATGCAGATATCATTTCCTGCTAGGCAGCAGGAAGTGAATTTCTTCTTTAAAATATATACTGTATGTTCTGCAGTGTTTGCATGAGTCGAGTTCTCAGGCAGACAGCGAGGAGAAAGAGAGCAGTTTTCTGCTTACCCAGCGCAGCTTAGCGGAGGTGTGAAAACTATCATGTCAACAAGCCAACCTCTCATTACTCATGCCACACAGCCACCTCACCCCAATTAACCTATTCCATCCTATGGTGCACCTTTGTCAGACAAGACACATCCATTCCCTCCTCTCCTCCTTGTAGCCCGTACAGACAATGGCTTAGTCTCATTAAACATGTGAATGTCACCTCAGCAACCCTTCGTCATTTAGCTTTTCTCATAATCGATGTTCATGAAGACCCTCATTAAACTACAGGCATTAGAGAAGTAGGATTGGACTGACAATGTTTTTCTGTACCTCATTATCTTTGTTGAAACTGCCAATAGTCAATATTCAGTATATATATTTTTAAAAATTGACAATTTTGTGCCTCAAACATCCCCTTCAAAGCAATAGCTGTACATATTTACTTAAACTTTAAAGGGACAGTTCACCCCCAAATCAAAAATACATATTTTTCCTTATACCTGTAGAGCTATTTATTGATCTAGATTGTTTTTGTGTGAGTTGCCAAGTGATGGAGGTATTGGCTGTAGAGATTTCCTTGTTGTGAGCAGTTTCATGTAGGAACTATTTTCTTTCTACTGAACGACATCCATCACTGTGCAGGAGGAAGCGTGCATCTACTGCTAGCTCACCTACCACCACTGAGCTAGCTAACATTACAGCCCAGCTGATGAGGATGCCATTAATGTTTACATCTCGTGCCGTAACAAACGTGCCTCTCATCCATGAGTAGATGCACGCTTCCTCCTGCACAGTGATGCAGTTGGCGGGTGTAATTAGGTTGAAAGAAAATAGTTCCATGGGCGAGAGGCTCATGACGGTGTGAGATGTCAACATCTACTGCTAGCTAACTTTACAGCTCAGCTGATGGGAAGCCCTTAATGTTTACATCATGCTGTCACAAACACAAGCCTCTCATCCACGAGAAGATGCATGCTTCCTTCAGCGCTGTAATACAGTTGGCTGTTACAGTTGGCTGTAGTTTGGTAGAAAGAACCTGCTCACAAAAAGGTCTGTGGATTATCTTGAGTAACCGGATCATGATGTCTGGAAAGACTTTTTTTTTTTTTTTAATTCTTTTGAAATGTATGTTTTTGGCGCTTTGAGCACCACAAGCCAAGTCCCATCTAGTTCCATTATATTCAAGAGAATGCAGACATCTCTACAGCCGATATCTCCAACACTCTGCTACTCACACCAAAACTATCTAGACTCATAAATAGCACTACAGGTAAGAAGAAAAATACGTATTTTCGTCCCTTTAATCATTTCTGGTCAGCCTCTATGGTAATCATCAATCATACAGTAAAAATGTAATTAAATGACTGGCATCATATTTGAGGAGAACATTGACCGTCCAGTTATTTCCTTCCACACCAGTTTAGTCTACTGGATATCCATAGTTTCATAAGCCATAACACATCCATGACCAAACAACATTCACATGATAACATGTCTATCTTCTGTCTCTCTTTCCCCTCTCTTCCTGTTTGTCCATCCACTGCTTTATCTCCAAACTATCAACCTGCTGCTTCACTTCCGTCTTCATTTTCCCTCACATGCTGTATCCCTCAACGCCTCTCATCATCCCTGCATCAAACTCTCACCTCTTACCTCTTTTTTTCTTTCACTTCAAACTCCTGGGATCCTCATCCTCTGCTCCCTCCTCCTGTACCTCATCTTGACCACCACCAGGTGTTAGTCGCACGATGAAGGAGAGAGTCACCAAGCCTACAGCCATGGCCCAGGGTCGCGTCGCTCACATGATTGAATGGCAAAACTGGGGCATGCAGACGGTGGGCGCAGGGGGCATCCCCCAGGCCCGCATCAGCACCCAGGAGCGGGAGAAGGAGCGGCGGTTAGAGAAAGATGCCTACAGTGACCTCAGCGACGGAGAGAAGGAGGCTCGTTTCACTGCAGGTTGGAAGCACTCACACCCACCCACACACACACACACACAGAGGAGGGCAGGCACTCCACAGTGCCTGTTAACTGTCATCAGCAGAATTATGTGCTCCTCACCTCACTGTGTGGGATTCCTGCCAGTTATTCGGCTAATTAAATCTAATGCAGCCCTCACAATAATGCTGGGTTGTCCTCTGAATCCTGACCTCAGGTATCCTGCAGCAGTTTGCGATCTCGGAGGCCACGCTCCTAGCCTGGTCGTCGATGGATGGAGAGAGCCCGCGGTCGGGGTCGAACCAGGGCAGTGTGGCTCATCTTAGCGAGGTCAACCAGGAGAGCATCACCAGTCGAGGTAAACAGTTACAAAGGACTACAAATATAACAGCAGCTCAGACTCAAAGTAGCTTATGTTGCTGAATCTTTACATGATGGCAAAGATTATTTAGCAGGGGAAGAAGGCCCAAAACAAGGTGTAAAGTATTTTAAAATATCTTAAAAACATGCTGTAAGATAATTTGTCATATAATAATATATAGTGGTGGAGGAAGTATTAACGTCTGTTACCTAAGGAAATGTAAAAATACTCCTTTAAAAGTGGAAGTAGTGCAGCAAAATGTATTTAAAAGAATACTTCACCTGCAAAATGACCATTTGTATATTAATTATTCACCGCTTGTTACCTTGAGTTAATGGAGAAAACTTTATTTTTCTCGCACGTCTCCTTGATGAACGGAGAATCCAAAAAAAGGTGAACATTCTTCATGAATTGAAGTAAATGGGACCCATGTAAAACAACAGCAAAACTATATCAAAACATCCTTTTACAAACTCTCACACAACCGGTGCTGTATAATCCAAGTCTCATTTATTCAGTCGTACAGTCAGTACTTCTCAAACACATGTATTTTCACTTAAACTTTGCATTATTAAACACTTCTGCCTACCATACGCTTGTGTATGAGATCTGCTTGAGCAGCGTTCATGTTCGTGCTCATGTTCCTGGCTGTGCATTAGACATGTTTGTACTGATGTGTTTTAAATCATAATGTTTTAGCAACAATGCATGTGTTCAGGAAGTACTGAGCGTAGAACTGGAGAAATTAGACTTGGATTATAATGCAGGAGTTGCGTGAGAGTTGATAAACAGATGTTTTGATATAGTATTGCTGTTGTTACACGCAGACCCTGTTTACTTAATTCATAAGGAATGTTCGCCTTTTTTGGATTCTTCGTTCACCGTGGAGGCATGCGAGAAAACAATTTACAAATTCAATGTAACTTGTGCTGAATAATTGATGTACGAATGGTCATTTTTCAGGTGTAATATTCCTTTCAAGTTCTTGTTGTGTAGCAGAATGAGCATGAAATGGAAATAATCAAGTAAATTAAGTTCCTCAAAACTGTACTTAAGTATAGTACTTGAGTAAAGTACTTAATTACTTTCCACCATTGGCATACAGTACATTTTATACACTTACTGAATGTAATAGTGTATATTCAATATATATTATAATGTATGGGCTGTTAGCAATAAAACAGCTGTCATATGTGAGTGTTGATTCATGTGCAGATAAGCAGCTTGCAGTATAGCATGTGTCATATAATGAGAACATACTGTTCCTCCGTCCAGGCTGGAGGCTCATTAGCTCAAGCTCATTACAAATTTCATATTTTCCAACATCACCTGTTCGGAGGTAAACCCAGACACTGCATCTGTATACAAAATGATTTCGGACATTTTCATTCCACAACTTTCATTCATTCAACATTCTGCAAACTTTTCCTCACGAAGTTGGAGGTGTAGATGATTATAATGAGATGACTTTGTTGTTCTAAGATAAACCTCCTTAAGGATATGATGCTTCATAAATGCATTTGCATCACATTATCTCATCATTTTTTTAGTTAAATAAACTCTTAGCAGAGGGTGAAAATGTGTGGCTGTGTTTACTCTTGGGCCTAATTTATACCCTTCCTCTTGAGAGAAAGATAAACTGCACAAAATCAAGGCTGCGTCTGCATTATACAGTTTGACACAAGTGATGAATCAACAGTGGAAGGTGTGCCAGCATTCAAACTCTATTCAGTACATCTAGGACAGTTTCTGTCATAACACTTATTCAGCCAGTGTGGAGGGTTTTTTTTTTCTGCAGCGAGTGAGTTTTTGATTTAGCTCCCAGTCAAACCTCCTTATTCTGTTCAGCAGGCCAGATCAAAGCCAAAATTCAAACTGGCTTAGTCTGCTGCATTTTTAACTGTACGCTAACAGCTGAAACCGCATTATACAAACACAATTAAAGGTTCAATTGTGGGTCATTAGGGGCGGGATATTTAGCAACTTAAAGGGACAGTTCACCTCAAAATCCAAAGAAATGCTTTTCCTCTTTCCTGTGTTTATCAATCTAGATTGTTTTGATCTGTGTAGTGTTGAAGATATCGGCTGTAGAGATGTCTGCCTTCTCTCCAACATAATGAAACTAGATGGCACTTGGCTCGTGGTGCTCAAAGTGCCAAAATAAAGAAAGAAAGTGTCTTTCCAGAAATCCAGTTACTCAAGATAATCCACAGTCCTTGTTGTGAGCAGTTTAATGTAGGAACTATTTTGTCTCTACCAAATTACACCTGCCAACTGTATCACCGTGCAGAAGGAGACGTGCATCTACTATGAAGATTATATCATCAGGATGATTCAATCTACTGTGCTTTTAGCTACTAAAACAAACCTCTGTCATACCATATTCCTGTTACAACACTTCTGACAGCATCTGCTTCCTTTTTTCATTATTTCCAGATCAGATACTGCACCACTCCTCAGCAGAGGTGTGGCCTCACACATACGTCTCCCAGGGCCACTACTGCCTCTCCTCCTCTGATGCCTGGGAGCCAATCAACAACGATCCCTCCAACGTGGCCTCTCCCCCTGCCGGCACCTACGTCATGGGGACCGAAGGGTACGACGGGCAGGCAGCGGCTCACTTCCTGTCGCAGCAACAGCAACAGCAGTTCGCTCTCCAGCAGCAGAGTCAACTACAACAGCTGCAGCAGATCCAGCAGATCCAGCACTACCAGCAACAGCAGCTCCTGCAGTATCAGCAACAACAGGTGGAGTATCACTTCTGTGGGGTGACACGTGGGTGTAGCCCCAAAGAAATACTAGATGGAGTAGAGATTTAGTATGTGAGCATATTTACTGTTGCTGTAAGTCAATCCAATAATGCATAAACCTGAGCGGTCCCAGAGAAGCAGGTTATGTCATGTCAAAAGAGCTTGTCAAAATACCATCCCAGTCAATTCAGTTTTTGGTTCACGTTACAACACGTGATCCCCTTTGTCCTAAGGAAGCTCTGTAACACCCAGGTTTATAAAGCTTTTTCAAAACCAACTAGATAGACTTTAATTACATAGACTTAAATCAGTCACTCAGCTAAAAGAAACTTTGGTTTTTATGTCGAGTGGGAAAGTTTATTCTGGAAATAGTAGTTGAAAAAATAATCTTTTTTCCACTTTTTTTTTATTTCAAAGGGAAATGACATCCATTTTCAAAATTCACACATAATAATACAGTCCAAAAATATAAGTTAACATGAACAACTCTCTCTCAAATCCCGAACAAGAGTGCTAAAACTCAAACTTGTGATGTCATCAAGTATAAAGTCAGGACCTGCTCCATAGACAATGAATTCGGAAGGATGTTATAGATGACACTGAGAGCACCCAGGGGAATGTGCTGAGTATATGGGTACATTTTCTGTGCCAGAACTGAGAGCATTGCAGCAGAATAAAACTCATTTGGGTATAAAGAGGAAAACAAACATCCTGTGGGTCCACAAAATCAGTCTCCCATTCACTGTCTATGGAGCAGCTCCAGATTTTATACTTGATGACATCACAAGTTTGAGACTTACTTCTCTGGTTTCTGGCGATGAGAGAAAGTAATTCACATTCACAAATATTGACCAAACTTTCCTAGGCCATGGAAGTAACATATTGAAATGTTTAATTGGTGTAATTTAAGGTGTTCTCTTTAAAGTGTCTCTTAATTTTCACCCAACTACTTCTTTTAATTTCCAAGAAAGGAACTGACATGTTGCTCTACATTAAAGTAGCTGTATATGACATTCAGAGCATATCTTTGATTTAGACTTGGAGGTGGGGTTGTCTACATACTGCTCTGAATATTGGAGGTGTGTTATGTCCTCTGTCTACTCCGGTGACAGCCATCTCTTCGAACAGCCCAATCAGCAAACATCACCTACTTTACAACGTCCAATCACACTCAACCACATATACACACCCTGAGAGGAGGGGACAGAACATCTGACAGCACAACACAAGCACATCAATACCAAAAACCAGAACCAGCAGCTAGCAACTAACGGTGTTAACGGCACTAACAGTGCTAACAACGGCAACGGTGTTGACAGAACTAACAGTAGCCCCTTTTACACTGCCAGATTTTCTGCAAATGTTGGGCCGTTTTGCCGGCAAGCTGTGAGCGTTTAGACACACAGACTTGTGGGAGGAGCTGTTGATGACGTCGCACGTGTGACCCACTGGCGGTGGATAAACAGGAAACAGCTGATAGCAGGAATTAGCAAGCAGCTAGTAGCAAGAGGGAAACACAAACCTGACAGACACAGTAAAGATGAGCAACTGAGAAGACAAGGAATTGTGCGCCCTCCTTGCCCCCACGCAAACAAAGAGGTCATTAACTGTCAGATGACAGGAGCAATGAAGAACGGGCCGACTTACGAGAGAATTGTCGAAGGACTGACCAGCTGCGGCTTCCCTTCCACATCACTGTTTACGTCACACGCTGAGCTACATGTTTTGTTACTTGCTCATGCCCCCATTGCCCCGAAAAAGGCGCATTCTGTATAAACAAAAGTAGGTAGGCGGCATTTTGCCGATAACAGTGAAGCTCAGATTACAACACACACAGAGGTAGAGTGACCTCATTCTCTCCTCAGGACGCCATTATTCTAATCCATCTTTACATGGCACTTAGTAGTTTGCTGCTATATTATGGTTCTGAATGTCAAATACAGATTCTTTCATAGTAAGATTTCTGAAAAGGAGAATATATTTTAGTAGTAATTATGGGGAACGCTTGTCACCGAATGCATGCATTCATAATTCATTCTGATTAATTGACGGTGTAACCTCAAGTGCACAGCAGGTCAGCTGAAAATACTAAAATGTAAAATTCCTCCACTAGCAAACATACAATTTAATACATAGTATTTTTACGTATTTAACATATACAGTAGGGAGAATGGAGTAATTTGCTTTAAAAGGAGCACTGCTCTCTAGTCACAAAAATTCTTGTGGAAATCATAATCTCAGCACAACTATCAAAAACACAGGTTCCAGCTTTAAACAGCGAGTTGGAGCCAAGAGGATGTAAATGAAATGATAAACCTGAATGTCTGAGCACAAAGAAAAGCAGTATTGATCACTGGCACAGTCAGACAGAGGTGTGCTGTAACCATTTACTGTTTTGTCTCCCTGAGCTATTTTCTTGGCTGCCGACATGAGGCTTTGTCTATCTTGTTAAACTGCTTGATGCCGTGTCACCTGACATGTCAGCGTGTCACAGAGGATAAACTCAGATCTCTAACTCCAACTCTTCCTCCTCACCCTGTTCCTAGTCGCTGGAGCACAGGCTGCACAGTGCCAACCACTCTTTGCAAGCCACGCCCAACAGCACCATCCACAGTCTGGTCCATCCCGCTCACCCACCATTGGTTGATCTGTGGAACACGGGGCAGATGGAGGCCTATCAGACGGACGCTGGAGGCTACATGGGTGTGGCAGCGGTGGTGGAACCGAGCCTCTGTGTTCCCACTGGAGAGGAGATGGTGGGAACAGAACACTCCCCGCTACTGGAGCAGCAGGAGGAGGAGGAGGAGGTCAAGGTGAGGTGAACGTGGAGTTAGATTACGTAAAATTACATCCTCAGTGTTTAATATTTGATCTATGATGTGCCTAAGAACTCTGAAAGACCTACTGGTGCCTTTATTCTAGTAATTACAAATCATACGTGATTTACATACATTAACATTTTATTTCCAATCACTTAGGCATGGATAGAGGTTAGTTTCAGTGCATGCTTGTGTGGTAACAACAGGTACTGATGATTAGTCAATCTCTGCTTTCAGCTTCTTAAATATGAGGATTTGCTGCTTTCTGATTTATATCTTTGTAAAATTAACATCTTTGGGTTTGGGGCTGCTGGCTGGACAAAACAAACAATAGTTACCTCAGGCTCTGAGAAATTGTGGTGGGCATTTTTTAATAGGCTAAACAATTAATTGAGTAATCAAAGAAAAGAGGATTAATCCATAATGTGAAAAAATCATTAGCTGCAGCAGGAGTAAGTTAGCAATCTTTTTACCTTTTGGAAAAAGTGATGTAATTGTCATGTCACAACAGGGACTGATTTGCAAGTGGTGTTAAGTTGGTGTGGTCTTCTTGGGAACTCCAGTGTTTGAAACTTCAGATTTTGCCTCTGACCAGCGACCTGTCTTTTTTTCTCTAGAGGGAGCTTTCCAAAGTACAGAGGAAATAACCCTGGTGATGTTAAAGTCCCCGTTTAATGGCTAGCGTAGCGCTAGATTCAGGTGTTTACTGTAAAATCCAGAAGCTAGGGATGGACTTGTCGCAGAAATTGATTGGCCTTTGCAGTAGCCAATCTGACGTCAACATAAAAGTGGCTGAGCCAAAATGGCGCCTAGTATTGCTAACAGGGACGCCGTCAAGGGAAGACTGGCCGGACAGGTTCATCCATACAGACATCTTTACAACTCGTTATTAAGAGACCACAGGGAGAGTCAAATGGCCTTAAAATTAAAAGACACCACACTGGGGAAAGAGGAGGCTTTTGCCGTAGGGTGTGGAAGAACATGAGACATCGCTGTAAAAGCTACAAATGGCCTCAAGAAAAGAGTGGAGACCCGTGGGGAAACAAAGCAGTATAGAATAATTTTGTCTTGCAGGTAAACATCAGTAATAATTACAAGACACAAAAACAATGTTTGACTGTACGTCAGTGTTTACTACTGTGGCCAGGCAGCCTACTTTTCCTGTAATGTTCTTCTTGTTGACTTCTTGCTTATCCAAAGCATATTTTGTTTGTTCACCGCCTGGCATTTCGAAGCATATTGCAACGACTATGCATTTTAGCTTAAATGCCTCTGTACATGCTTGTAGGTTGCGTTATCTATAGTGGCTTGTGCCATGGTGTCTCATGCTACTACAAACAAAGTGTGTGTGATCTGGGTGAAGGACTAGGGTGTGGGTGTTACGCTTCCATGACGGCGCTGTGCCGCCAACGTAAGCGAGGCTTGATGATGATGATGATGATGATGATGATGATGATGATGATGATGATGATGGCTTTACTGGCATTAACTCCAGGAGTTAGCACAACCAAAAACACAACAAAGACTCACAACTGCATGCAAGCTCGTAGGTCATGTGCACCGGTTGGTAGCTGGCAGAATTCATGGTCATGGGGGAGGGAGATAAAAATCAGAGAAAGCGTTTCATTAGATGCAAAATTAGCATACGCCCCAACGTGGAGGATGAGTCAGCAACAATTTTTGAATGTTTTCTTGGGAATGACAAACCCTGAAATACCATTGGGAATACCTCACTGATAGTCCAGATGCTGGCGTGTAGGTGACGATCAGAGCAAAGCATATATGATTAAAAAAAAAAAAAAAAAAGAAAGAACAAACATCTATGTTGATTTCATGGGGACTTAAACAGAAAGCTTGTGTAACAAACTGGGAGTGTTGACTTTGAAAGAAGTAGACATTAGTGATGCAGCGAGGGTCTGTTGAAAGATGTTTATGAGTTGCATTGTGGGTATTTTGGAGTTTTTGGTGCATAACTTGTGTTAGTGACTAAAAATCAAGAAATCTGTTGCTCCTCTGTTGCTTTGCCTGTGACCTTTTTCTTTATGCGTTTCTTGTGAGTCACCCAAACTTTATGGAAATGCGTAAAGCTTTTCAACAGCTGACTCAGACGTCTTGGATGCTGAAGCCTCCTGCACATAGCAACAAGAAGCAGTTTGTGACTATGATTTAACAAACCAACAATGATTTGCTACTAAATTTCCATAATGGTCATCTAAATGTCAACAGTTATGGATGAATCATTTCAAGCAAATGTAGGGAGTCTTTACCAGTTGATCTTCACACTGCTGATCAGCTGAATGATGGGAAATCAGGCGATAATCATTTATAAGTCAGTTGGCAGTGATGTAAATACTATAAGATTTGAAGTTAACAGGATAAAACCTGCAAAATCATCAGTATAGACCTTCACTTACATTGCATGGGTAATTAGTTGGCTGAACCTTCTGTGTGTCTCCGTCTGTCCTGAGCAGGAGGAAGATGTGGCACTGTGCATGGAGCCAGAGTTGGCCTCGTTGACTCCGCCCACGCAACAAGGGGATGCCTCTGGTGGCAGTAGTCCGGGGCAACCGCCGGCAGAGCCAATCACAGAGCGGAAGTCCTCCGATGTCACCTCCAGCCTCGTTCAGACGCTAGAGGGGAATGAAGAGGAGGAGGGGCAGGGGCCAGCTGCTTCCATGGCAACCAACTGAGTACCTGGCTGTCAAGAGACACCCTATTACAAACTGACCGGGAAGTCAGCGAGGAATGAGCGTAATAATACAGTATATATCTATTAATCTGTTCCTTTTCAGGTATCAAAAAACTTTTTGGTTGCGAGCAAATTCAAAAATGGTGAGAAACAGATCTGGAGGTGGACTCACAACGAGACAGGAGCTGATGCAACAAAGGACACCTATTTCTTTGTAAGCCTTACATCCCAAAGGTAACTGAAGAGAGGAGTGAGGACGGAGACACTGAAGAGGAGGAGGAGGAGGATGAGAAGGAGGAGGAGCACCAACTGGCTGAGACATTTCCATCAGGAAAACGAAACCACGCAAAGAGGAAGAGGAAGGGGAAAGTAAACATGCATGCTTTTTATGGAGACAAGCAACTCGACCATGTCATCGTCTCATAATAATAATGAATCATAATAAAAACATTACAATAAGAGTAATTTTGTAATAAAGTAAAAAAAAAAAAAAAAAAGAACAAATCTATGTATAAGTGTATGATATACGTTTTCCTGTGGGAGAACTACTCTGTTTACAGCTGTTACTCGACATATTAGATAGTGTTTAATCAAATTAATTTTCCTTTTGCATCGAACACATACACTTTAAAAACGGCAACTCAAAAAATATGTCATGTGTAATTACAGAAGTCGGAGAAAAATGTCAGCATTTCAGTGAAATGCAGATTGACCCTCTAAAATAATCTATGACGTTGTGGCACCAGGATGCCCGAGGCACAACCCAGGGACAGGCGTGTCCTGCTGACTGCACACACTAAACTGCACAGATAAGGATTGTACTGTAAGATAGTGTGCTTCCTACTCTGTCTCTCTGTATGCATGTTTCTTCAGAGCACTATGGAGTACCTGTACTATACAGCACTGTATAGACTTTGCACTGAACCATAGTATCCCAGGTGGGGCCACAGTGGGCCCGGGCAATGAGTTTCATGGCGGAGAAATAAAGACAGAGCTGCATGAGCGAATCTCTTTTGCACTGATGCAATCCAACAGATCAGAGGTTGCCTTTGGACTGTTGACGTTCACCCAGTTCCCACTCTGAAAGCTTTCCACCGACAACCAAAACCGAGCCACTTAACAACACAGACCCTCAGCTGCTTTTTTTGTTTCTCTCTCTCTCTCTCCGTAGAGGTAGTCGCGTTAAATCGAGGATGATAACCACTATTTGAATGTACTGGAAGACAGATGGCAGTACATGAGCGCTTGCTTTTTGATGTCTCCTCGCAGTCCGCATGGGAGAGAGTCTTTCCTAGGAAACAAAGATAAACGAGCGAGTCTTTCAAACGTGTGGGAGGGAGCTGTTGAAAAAGGATTCACTGCTGGCTCCACCACACACACAAACACACACATACACACACACACACACACACACACACAGAAAACACACAGATATCTAAATTGTAACCAGCAATAGGCAGACGACACACTGGTTTCCCAACAGACCAGTGTCAGCTCTGTCGTATAACTGTAAATAGTCTGAGTATATAGAAATCGCCTCTCACTCACAGTCACAACTGTTCTAGTACAGTATGATTTCTTTATTTTTTTACACCTCTCAGTCCCGCTTTATTTTGGGATTGCTCTCAAGCTTACAATTTTTTTTTTTTTTTAACCGTTACACGAGGACAAATGAAACGGAGGAATGTTTGTGTTGTAAATAAAGCCAACTGGAGAGTGTTTTTATCTGGCGGAGGAAGACGGACAGGCGTAGGTCCAAGTTCACGGCGGGGGAATTACAACCCGTGTGCTGCTCAATCAGCCAATCAGGGAATAGAACAGAGGAGCGAACACTAGAGCCGAAGAGATCGGTGTCTTCCTGCTCATCGTGATTACTGTGAAGCAGCTGCCTGGGGTGTGATAGTGATTCTAATGATGTTTGAGGAAGCATTTGGTTTTTCTTTTTTCTTTCGCCTGAGGAAGAATGGGTGTTTTTTTTTTGTTGTTGTTGTTGTTTTTTCCAGCGAGGAGTTAAACAGACAGTGAAGACTTTCTGTGCATGACGAACTTCACCACACACAGCCACTGTTTTCATCTTTTTCTTTTTCTCTCTGCTGGGGAGCACCTTCTCCTCTCACTTTGATGATTGTGTGAGAAACTTTTAAGATAAACAACTAAAAAAATAATTGACTTGAATGAATTTATTTATTTATTGCTTCTTTATGCAATGTTGGGGGACAATGTTTATTTTTCTACTGACTTGTTGAAATCCCTTCCAGTATAAGTTAGAATAGATGTCACGGTTGTAAAGCTGTCTTGTTTCGGTCTGGTTTTGAGCACTTTACACCATGAAAAACACACCTTGTCAAGAGATTAGAGATGGATAGTTTGGCAGCTCTCGATTATAACGAACCTATCATCGCTTTATTTCACTGCAAGATTCCCTGTTCAGTGACTCGTGAAAACAAGAGGGCTCAAAACTGCAAACAGAATGTCTTTACACAGTGGCACATATTCATTTATTTATTGAACAATTACTCGGTGGGGAGGAATAATGTGACAGCTTGTACAGAGTCTATAATTTCATGTAGGTACCGACCCTTCTGGGAGCAGTATCTTTTTCTTTATGAGTCAGTTTTAAAGACGTCATGTGGTGGAAAGACTTGCTTTGTATTTGTTGAGGCTAATTCAGGGCTGGAAAGAGATATTATAAGGAAACATGCATGATGAAAAGACACTGCTTCAATTTGGGTTCTTTTATTGCTTTTTGTTTCTTTCTTTTTTTTTTTTATTCATCAGAACCTAAATGAATGAATAAACTTAATAACAAGAAGCCAAATATATTTCTGTGGATGTTAAGGTTTACTGATCACATCTTTGTTAACTGACTGGTTTGCAACAGAGTTGTTCCGATACTGATGCCAGTGTCCGAAATACCTCCAATACTGCCTACAGTGCTGGGTCAGCTATTGGCGAGTACACAATCTGATACCGTAAGTTATTAGTAAACTCAAAAGAAGTTTCACACCTGGTCAAAGAACTATTGGCGAAAAAAAGCAGATTGTTGTGTCTTGGCCAGAAAGTTGCACATGAACACATCGCAAACACTACAGCCAAGAGCCAACTGGCACGTACGCCTGCATTACAAGAAATACCTCCCCAAACCACCAGGTGGCGAACGTCTGTATTCGTCATTCAAATATGACAACCAGAAATACCGACAAGACGGATTCAAGAAGCTAGTTAGCACATTAACACAGCCTGATGTCGAAAGAACAAATAATTAATAAAGTTAATTTGTTAACTTACGTTCGGGAGCAGGGCCACGTCTCAACCACGTCTCTATTTACCTGACAACCCTTCTTATACCTGGTCAACCCATCCTGCTCTGTTGGTCTCAGATATTCGACCCACCCTCCCTTCATCCATCATCCTCCCTACCTCATCTCTACCAACATTCCTTCATCCTCTCTTTCCTTGTCCCCTCACCTCTTCTTATTCAATCTGGTGCATACCTCTCCCATGTCTCATTCTAGGTACTGTCCAGGGGGCCTGTAATCAGCTCCGGTGGAGAAATACAAGTCTCCCTCTGCCTGGTCTCCAGTACATCCTCCCAGATCAATCTAACAGAAGACATTCCTCTTCCACCTTCACCCCACACTTACATCTATTCACCAGTCCTCACGACATATTGTTGTGGCGTGGTCCTTACTCGTGAATGAACCGTTATTGCTAAAGACCTTGATGGCTAAAAAAAATGTTCTTACCTTATTTAACACCATCTTGACTTTAAATGTTTTTACTGTCTTCACTTTAGTTTCTCTTCTCGTGCACTGAACTGAACTGCCAATCAGCTCCAATACGATTAAACATGCGGCCACCTGTCAGCTTGGTGTGTCAGGGCATTAAAACACTAGCCAGCACAACAACTACTGTCTTACATCGGCAAAGCGGAACTGATTTCCGGTAAACAGTGTAACGTTTGGCGACCTCTATGGCGTTCTTTCTCTGTATGCATTTGTTCATGTTTTACAGAGGGTTTAACCTGAGCCATGACATTAAATGATAGTAATCATTTCATTTTTTTATGCAATGGTATTGGATTGGTACTCGGTATTAGCAAGTTTGCAAGTTCAGGAATCGAAGTCAGTATTGGGAAGGGAAAAATGGTATCGGAACATCTCTAGTTTGCAACCGAGTTCCTCTTTTTGTATAATTCTACTGCCATCCTCCAGAGTTACAGTAACTTGTCTGCAGGCATGACGCTCAAAATCTGCTTCTGGTCCTCTGCCTTTCTCCTCTCTCTTTCTATCTCTTTGTATCTGTTATGTATATTTGTGTCTGTCTGTATGTCTGTCTCTTTGTCTGTCTGTGTACAGTAAGTCGTCTTGTTGGAAGAATCACTGCCTGGAAAAAAAAAAAAAAAAACAAGTTTTCACATCAACCAAAGGGGATTTGAGGCAATCAGACATGTAACATAGATATGATTTGGAAATGTGTTGCAATAATAATAATAAAAAAAAAAGTAACCGCTGTAAAAAATGCTGTTAAAATTGGATGGCTTCTGTAAAAGTCTGTATTAAATTGGAATTATTTGTTTTGAGATGAGGCAGTGTGACTTGTGATACCAGTGTACACTCACACCTATGCATGCTTGTTGGACGGTTGTCACAGGATGGTTCTTCCACGTGGTCCCCCCTCTCTCCCCTCTTCTGTCAACAACTCTGTTTCTTCCTGTTTCTCTTCCTTTTTCCTGCACGACAGAACCTCCTACACCCCCTCCAGCTCCTTTACCTGTCTCCTCTTCTTTTCCTCTGGTGGAGAAAGAGCAAATAAACAAACCAACGAATGGCATTTCTTGTGCTCATGTGTGGATATCTTTTCCAAGGTGTAAATAATTAGATTCTCACACCTCTCACCTCTTTCTCTCGAGAGCGTCAACACGTGATACGTCTAAACAACTTTTGGCGGCAGCCAGTGTCTCTGGCCAGCTCGTCATTGCTTGTCAGACAAAACAGCAATCACCAAGGAACTGGCAGCAGTGTAATCCAGCCTGTCATGCTTTTCCAAACACATTCCTCTCTAGTCGATATCTGGGATTTTATGCCAGGAGAATATTAACAACAAATTCACAGAGACAGGCCTCCTCTGTGGGGACGAGCTGCTTATTTGTTCAAGCTCACACAGGAATCAGGAGGCTGAATCACACTGTTGACCTTCACAGTACAAATATGTTTGATTGATCAGAGATATTCTCTTTTCAAACCTAAAAGCTGGAACACTGATACAGAGATTTTTTCCACCCACACTGGTGACGAGCCTGTCTGTCGGTCCACCACTGAAATATTGCAACAGCTGTTTGGTGGATTGATATGAAATTTGGCACACTCATTTGGGACTCCCTAAAAAGACAGTGTTTCACCGGGGGCGGTGCCTCATGTCCTGCGACACATGTTTTTGTCAGCTCACATTGGGCAGTTTGGTCACTTTTTGCAGTTTAAGCCCATGGTTAAACCTACTGGAGACCTCACGCCTAACTGTAACTTCAAACAGATTTGGAGTTTTTTTTGTGATCCAAGTGTATAAAGATACACTTAGATTTTTGCTCCTTGTACTGCTAACACAGCTCCAACTGCGACTCGACCTTCCTGCAGATTTTTCAAATGAGTCATTTGTGTAATTGCTTATCCTGTTAGAGGTCGTAGCAGTGCTCGAGCCCTGACATTGGGCGAGAGGCGGGGTACACCCTGGATAGGTCACCAGACTATTGGTGTTTCTCAAAGTCAAAGATCCGTCTTTGGTAGGAAAAGTCCTTCCGAGGAAGGATCCTACAGAGGCAAGAGTCCTTCCTAACATTTGGTGAAAACACAGGCTAACACAGGAACAGGCTAACAAGTGTCCCCAGCTGTGTGTCATTAACCCTCAGCAGACTGAGGAAGTTTCAGGACCATTTAAGGATCCTTCCCTGACTTTAGAAAACACCCTATTGCAGAGCTAACGTATAGAGACAGACACCATTCACTATAATGAATGTGACTTAACCCAAATGCAGCACACTGAGGCAGGCAGACAGTTGGTAATGACCTTTATTGCTCACACAAATAGGCAACAGTTCTGGGTCTTTGGGTTTAGCTTGCTAGTAGTTTCTCTTGAGACTGGTAGTGGAGTGAAGACTGAAGTAACTAGCTGAACCAGGAGAGCTGGGGTAAGCAGGATTGGTGTAGCACCATGCAATCACAGAGCCGAGCAGATGAGAACCAGAAAGGGAGCAGGCAGGACTCGGAGTCAGGGACAGAAGGCTGAGGTGATTACCAGGGCAGAGACAATGGAAGCAGGCCAGGAACAAGCAGGGTTGGTACCAGAAAATCAAGCCAAGCAAGAGCGAGTGCTGGAATGTCTTGCATCAAGTCTAAGAACAATCTGGCAAAGAGCATGTGTGCTGGAGAGGTTTATATACCAGGCAGATTGGCTGATGAGCTGCAGCTGTGGAGGCAGGTGAGAGGAGTTTTCTTGATGAGGGGGGTGTGGCTGGCTGGCAGGGTGCAGGTGAATGGAAATTTACCAGGAGCAGGTGAGGGAGAGACGCAGACATTCACGCTCACATTCACCAATTAATCTGACCTGCATGTCTTTGCACTGTGGGAGGAAGCTGGAATACTTGGAGAAAACCCACAGTGAACGCGTTTACATGCACACCAATAAACCGATCACTGTCTGATTTCTGGAGTAAACAGCATAATCCGAGAGGCTTTATCAGATAAAAGCCATTATCTGATTATGAGAAATCAGATAAACACACCTAGCTTTTTCCCCAATAGTCAGATTATTCAGTGCATGTATACCCTTTAACCTGGTTTCTTTCAGGTTTTGCTATTTTATACTCCCACTCCCACATTTTAGAGGGAAATATTGTACTTTCTACTCCACTACGTTAATCTGACAGCTTTTGTTTCCTTTCAGATAAAGATTTTACATAAAATAATATATTTTTATATTCTCAGTGTTTAAATTGTCACTTTTATTTTATCTTACTTATATGTTATGCACTTTGTGTGACAAGTTTATATACAATACACTTGTATATTGCACTTTGCAGTACTTTTACTCCGAATCTACCCAAAGTATGTAAAATTGGCTCCACACTGATAAACTACACATTAGAATGCTTTCACATGTATTTGTTAATGATAAAAACAAACAGTACTGTAAGAATATAAGCTGTCAGCATGATGAGTGCTTTATTTTGCAAATATATGACTTGCGTACTTTTCGAGGTTTTTCAAGGATATGAGTACCTACTGTAACAGGAAGTTTGAGTTTTATGTCATGTACGTGAGGAGAAATTCAACTGAAGGACTGAATCATGTAAACCAGGTTTTTCTGATTATCAGATTACTGAAGTGCACGTAAACGCGTCAAATCGGATTATTACCATTGCCTGATTATTCCCAGTTATCTGATTATTGTGCACATGTAATCGTGCTCAATGACACGGGGAGAACATGCAAACTCGGCGCAGAAGGGCTCCCCCATCCCAGGTTCAAACCAGGAACCCTCTTGCTGTAAGGCAACAATGCTAACCACTGCACCACTGGAAAATATATACAATTAAATTGCGCTAAAATGTATGTACATTTAGACTGATTAAATTACAGTTTACAGATTATCAATTCCTATGGACATAGGTGTGAGACCAAATATACACATGATAGGAAAACATAAATACTTTATCCTGTATGCTTTCATACTTCGTATGCTCCCAGGAATGTATGCTTGTATGTGTTTGATTGGCCACTGCAGTGTCTCGCAGGATGACATCACATTGCGGTCATGCAGTTGAGCCAGATTCAGCTTTTCTTTACAGAAGACCCTGTGTTGTATTTTTTTGCCGGGGCCCCCAACACATCACTGTACTGCTGTGTTTTGTCGCTGTGGTAAACACAGCAAAACTAATGACATCCCCATCACCCTCAGCTGTACTTTGTGTTTAATGCTAATTAGAAAATAGCGTGCTAACACCGTAAACTATAACTGTGAACATACACGTAAGCATGCTAACTTTAGCATTTAGCTCAAATCACCTGTGCTGTGCCTCACAGTCGCTAACATGACTGTAGTTTTTCTTCTGATTACATACACTTTTTTGTTGTAGATAACTGAAATAAGCTAGTAGACAGTTTTAATATTTATTATCTTTAAAAATCACAGACTGGTAATAACGATTTGAATATTTACCATACAGCAAATATCTGATAAATGTAAGATATAATTTAAAATTAACCACAATTAGTAAACTTTAAATGCATGATCTCTTTGACCTCTAGGTCAAATTAATTAAGTTTTCATCAATATATTATTTCATTATCATACCATTCATTGCTGTCAGTTAATTTTTGATCAAAGGTACTTCATGAAATTAACAGACGCTGATATACGATGTGCGGCTACATTCAACATTTCCAAGAAATGGACGGACACTGAACATTCGTGATATGTAGGACTGAAGATGTCTGTCCATCTACAGTTCAAAAGACAAAGGAAGGCACCTGAGATTTCGAGAGTGAAAAAGTGAGACTGTTGTAAGAGTAGAAAAAAAAATCATGAACTACAAGTTTCAGGAGCTTTGTGCACTAGTTCATCCTGCTCGCTGAGAGCTGAATGTCTGCGGGGGCTGCAGGTGAGCCTGACTCCTCCTCAGACAGTGGCTCTGTCTCTGGAGGAAGAGGAGTGAAATCAAAAGAAGTCTTTTCTTTAAACCCAGTCTATATGGGTTCATCTGACTCCTCGCTCTCCCTGTCCTCCTGCAGGGAGGATAGTGTGAGGACAGGGCTGGTGGGTGACACTGGGGAGGCATGAGGTGAAGGTGAGGTAGGGGAGGAGGTAGAAGGGGATGCCGGCTCCTGTGAAGCATCGTCAGCTCCTCTTGTGGGGGCAGAGCTTCCACTGGCGCTCCCCACACTGTTGGGGGAGGAGGGAGCAGTGTCACCACCGGGAGCTCCCCTGGAAGACGACGCCTTCGCTCGGGAATCTTCCTTGGATTCCTTCCTCGCCAGCTCCCCCTCCCTCCTGCTCCCCTCCCCCCACAGGGCTCTGTCCCGAGTGGGGGAGGAAGGAGTGGATGAGGGAGGCTGGTGCTTCTTGGTTTTCCTGCTGGCGTCTCTGAAGCTGGCCAGAGGCGGACGAAGCCTCACCCCGCTGCGAGTTGAGCCCTCTATAGCTTTCTGTAGCTGTGAGAGGAGAAGAGAGGTTGAAACACATAAAGCAAAGAAACACATGTTCAAGTGACAATGTAGGATCACTAAAGCGAACAGCTGGGGAGATGAGTTGAGGGCGGTTAATGGAATAACCACATGAATCAGAGCGTAAAGCATGATGCACCCTGTGACGGCACAACTGCCCACAACATGAGATCATCACAGCTTCCTGTCACGCTGCATTACAGGATCAAACCAGGAGAGGTGACAAAAACTTGCAGGAGAGAAAAAAATATAGAGAAAAATGTGACCGTACCTCTTTCAGCGCCACGACGCCCACCAGCTTTCCAATGCTGGTGACATAGGCGTGACTGAGCCCCAGCAGAGAGAACAGAGTGTGGGTCTGAGTAATGACAGGGAGAGAGGACATGATCCAGTCAGTGTTAAATGTATTGTAGTGTGACAGTGTTCTGCCTGCATGGCTGCACTGTGCCTCGTAAACAATTTGTCCGGCAATATAACATGAGTCACAGCTTAAAATCCACAATTCAGGATTCAAAGCTTTACGGTCACGTGGACAGAAAACAAACACTTCCACATGCTGCAGTATTGCACTTCGAATTGAATAAGTTGGGGGACTCACAAGAGACACTGACCCAA